CTTCCCCCTCCCTTACAACCCCCATGTCAGGTGTCAAAACCGTCTGCCACTGACGAAATGGTATCGTCCCGATTTTTCAGTCCATAACTGATGCTTCGTGAGCCGAGCAGTGTGAAAACTTCGTTCGGCTGTAACGTGGTGGGACAGTACCGTCCTCTTCCTCTCCGCTGTCAGTTTCCTTCCCCGCTCGTCAAAAAAAACTCAAATACGTAGGAAGAGTCAACACGCATAGCTTAGACTGGAACCCGTACGGCAATGGAGCTACCGTGGCGAGTGGTCCCAGTGCAATCATTATCGTTAGTTTTCAGCTAGCATAGTAAAACTGTTGTCCTTGTCGCTTCCGCCAATTCACCTCTCCCATTCCTCCCCGCCTCATCAGTTTGTCTCTTTCGAGCATGAATTCCTTACTGCACTGATCCTGCACAAAGGATACGTCCATCCGCCGTCCGTCGTCTGCAGCAGTTCATCAGTTTATGACGCTTTGCTTTCATTGTAAAAAGCTTCGCAAAGGAAATGGGATGGAATGCTGGAGCTGTCAGTGTAATTTGATACTCCGACATCTGTGGGGCTGATTGGTTTCTCTGCGAAACTTATTTCAAGGAGGAGCTGTTTTTGAAGTCTTGTTAGTGTGTCTGTTTATAACTTTCGCTCGACGTCGTTACATCAAATAAAAATTACCCGTTTGTTCTAAGTAACACAGCAGATAGGCTGCATACGTTTGTTTGGCGCATCTCCCAGCGATGTCATTTTATGGATCTTAATTTATACAGGATAATGCGGGAGTGACTAGAAACTACATTATTTGGTCCTTACAATTGGTGTGAAGGTTTATTCTTAGTGTTTCGAATGAAATTGGAACCAGTAGCTGAAAGGGACATTCTTCGCTTATTTCTGTTCACTTCCATCTGAATATATTTATGGGGTTTTTTGCAAAAAGTTTAGCACATTTTTACGTAATTGCAGGTGCAGCTACCACCCAGTTTCGATAGTTTGGAGATAACAGAATTCAGTTTGGCCTCAGTTTTCTGAATTAAGATCCATTTATGCATTACTTAAATCCCGACAGCCTGCTGCAGAAATTTTTTGCTAGTTTAGAGGCTAAGAGCCCATTTGTACTGTCATAGAAACTTTACCTCACCTTTACCTCTTACTCAGTTGGGACCGGGGATGACGAAATGGACGAATTTTGTGCATGTTGAATCGTTAATGCTTTTCTCGCAGCTAATATTTCCTGCGCATGGAGAGATTATTAAACACCTGCGCTGGATTGGAGCCTCAACAGGAGCAGCAGTAGCTCACCCTTACTACTCATTATTATTAAAGCGGTGTCCAGAAGCCATTCATCGTTGCTGCCATCCGTCGTTCGAATAGACTGGTGTCGTTCTTCCCGCCTCTCCCTCCACCCATCCTCCATTAATTGGCCGTCCATTTTCGTTATATCACATTAGGCATTCGTTTTATTCGTTCAGAGTCCATCAGCAAATTGCTTATCCATGCAGACTCGCTGCTAATTTTTGTAGCTCTTTCCAGAAGCAGTTCTCCTGCTCGCAGTTGCCCGTTAGTTCGTGAAATTCATCGCAGCAAAGCATATCATTATCCCTTTTTTCTTGCTAAACTTTTGCTTATATACTATACACATATGTATGTATAAAGGCACATCAAATAAGCTTTGTCCCAAACATGGTTTTCAGTCAGTCTGAGTTCTTTCAAATACTGTCGAAGAAGTAGGAAACATGGTGAGACCCGTTCGTCACCGCCTGTATTTCATAGTTTTATTATTCGAAAACGTCGCAATAATTTTATCTTTTCTACTCCTGCAAAGATATTGCTGCTCTGCTTCATTTTCGCTGTACGGGTATTTTAACGGATGTCTCTGGCCAGCCATGCACAGCAGCACCATTCCTGTCTGAATTTTTCCTGCACTGTAGCCGACCAGCCATCTCTAGGGAATTTGCTT